AGCGTCGCTTGGCTAGCGGTGGCAACACAAGTGCTGCAGTAGCCGCAGCTGCTTTACAATACACCCAACAATTACAGGCCCAATTAGCTTTACTGCAACAGCAGGCAAATACCACAGCTTCACCATCCATAACATTGACACCAGCTGCTCCATCACGATCGTCGTCCTCGTCCTCCCATTCAAATAATCACAACCTAAGTCATCATCAGCAACAGCAGCAGCATCATCACAATAATGCCAACACCAACCAAAATAGTACCAATCTTAGTATTAGATCGAATAATTCTCAGCAGCAGCATCAACAACAACAACACCAACAACATACCCAATCCCAGCTCAAATATCCACAGTCCTCTTCACCGGCCGAATTGTTGGCAGCCCAGGCTTCGTTAAATCTTAGTTCAGCAAATAATGGTGGTAGCAATGGTGCCGCCAATGGATTAACAAAATATGCCCAATTATTAGCTGTCATTGAGGAGATGGGCCGTGATATTAGGCCAACCTATACCGGGTCCAGAACATCAACGGAACGCCTTAAACGTGGCATTGTGCATGCCCGTATTCTGGTACGAGAATGTTTAATGGAAACCGAACGTTCAGCACGTCAATGAGATTTACTTTCATCAGCTGAGCTGAAACAACAACCACAACAACAACAAGAAATAAATGAGGAAATTGATGAAAGAGATTTCAAGACAAGCCACCATCCCCGTAACAGCAGCTGCAGCAGCACCATCTCATTACCAAGTACTACTGATAGTTGTTTTAAGCAATAGCCTTAATGATTTAGACATGATTTATAAAAAAACAAATTTTTTAAATTTATTTAGAAAACACTTTTTCCAAATTTTTGTTTTCAAATTTATTCCCCCACTTCTTTATACAAAAAAATTAGTTTTAGTTTTTTTTAGTATAGATTTTAGATTGGTATATATAATTTTTGGTATTCCAAACTCATACGATTATTATTGTTGGAAATTTCAACACAATAACATGACCAAAGCATTATTTTAAAATTTCTTGGCTAAACAAAAAAAAAAAAAAAAAAATGTGCAGGATTTTGGAATACCTACAAAGATGTTTTGTTTTTTTAGTTTCTTTTTAAAATAAATATTTTAAAATACCTTTGTTTTAATTTTCATGATGATAATCAATTCAAGATTATTTTTTAAGTTAGTTTTTATTATTATTTTTTTTAATAATATTTAAATTTCCAAAAAAAAATATTTTTTTTATTTATTTTACCACATGGAAATCGGTAGGGAAACAATTTTTATAATAATTGAAATTATCCACACACAAAACCATAAAATTACTTATAAGAAAGAAAAAAAAAAATGAAAAAATTGTTCGGAAATGTTTTCTTATAGAAAAAATTTTCTGGGTAATTTTTTCCTATCGAAAAATTTATCCGGATAATTTTTTCCTATCGAAAAATTATCCCAATAATTTTTTCCTATAGAAAAATTTATCCGGATAATTTTTTCCTATAGAAACATTTTTGTTATCTTTTTCTATAAGAAAAAATTATCCGGATAAATATTTCTATATGGAAAAATTATCCGGTTAAAATTTTCTATAGGGAAAAATTATCCGAATGAATTTTTCTATATGAAAAATTATCCGGAAAAATTTTCTATATAAAAAGATTATCCGAATAAATTTTTATATAGAAAAAAATTATCCGATAAAAATTTTATAGGAAAAAAATTATCCGGATAAATTTTTCTATAGGAAAAACTTATCCGGATAAATTTTTCTATACCAAAAAAATAATCCGGATAAATTTTTCTATAGAAAAAAATTATCCGGGTAAATTTTTCTATAGAAAAAATCCGGATATATTTTTCTACAGGAAAAAATTATCCGGATGCATTTTTCGATAGGAAAAAATTATCCGGAAAAATTTGTATATGGGAAAAAATATCCGGATACATTTTTCGATAGGAAAAAATTATCTGGATTAATTTTTCGATGGGAAAAATTATCCGAATAAATTTTTCTCTAGGAAAAATTATCCGGATAAATTTTTCTATAGGGAATTATTATCCGTATAAATTTTTCTATAGGAAAAAATTATCCGTATAAATTTTTCTATAGGAAAAAATTATCCGTATAAATTTTTCTATAGAAAAAACTTATCCGGATATATTTTTCTATACCAAAAATATTTTTCTATACCAAAAAAAAATTTTCTAGGAAAAAATTATACGGATAAATTTTTCTATGGGAAAAAATTATCCGGTAAAAATTTTCTATGGGAAAAAATTATCCGGTTAACTTTTTCTGTAGGAAAAACTTATCCGGATAAATTTTTCTATAGGAAAAAATATACGAATACATTTTTTTATAGAAAAAATATCCGGATAACTTTTTCTATATGAAAAAATTATCCGGTTATCGTTGAAAAAATTATCCAGATAAATTTTTCTATAGAAAAAAATTATCCGGATTATATGTTGATAGGAAAAAATTATCCGGATAAATTTTTCTATAGGAAAAAATATAAGAATATATTTTTCTATAGAAAAAATATCCGGATAACTTTTTCTATAGGAAAAAATTATTTGGATAATTTTTTTTATAGGAAAAAATTACCGGATAAATTTTTCTATAAGAAAAAATTATCCGGTTAAAATTTTCTATTGGAAAACATTATTCGGTTAACTTTTTCTACAGGAAAAAATTATACGGAAAATTTTTCTATTGGAAAAAATTATTAAAAAAATATCCGGATAAAGTTTTCGCTAGGAAAAAATTATCCGGATGAAATTTTCGAAAGAAAAAAATTATCCGGTTAAAATTTTCTATAAGGAAAAATTATCCGGATAATTTTTTCTATAGGAAAATATTATCCGAATAAATTTTTTATATTGAAAAATTATCCGAATAAACTTTTCTATAAGAAAAAATTATCCGGATAAATTTTTCTATTTGAAAAACTTATCCGAATAAATTTTTCTATAGAAAAAAATTATCCGAATAAGTTTTTATAACCAAGAATTATGAAAATATTTTTTTTTAGAAAAAATATCCATTTATTTTGAATAATTTTTAAATTTCCTTATTTCAATTCGTTTAAAAAATTAGAATAAAATAACCGTTATAGACATAAAAATACCTCAAAAATACAGCCTTTAATATTTATATATACACATAATATACATCTATATGTATATAGAATATTCGTTAAATCTCTATATATAATATATACCTAAGTAACTAGTTCTAAATCAAGTCAAAATTATTCAAGAGGGTTATATATAAAAAAATTAAATAAATAAATAAAAAATAAAAAAATATGAGGTTATAAAGAATAATAATTTCTCCTCTCTGATATTCAATCTATACTGACCAGAAAAAAATTAAAAAATGTGAGGTTATAAAGAATAATAATTTTTCCTCTCTGATATTCAATCTTTACTGATCTGAAAGTCCAAACGTGTAATATTTTTTTTTTTTTCAAAATCAAAAAAAAAAAATAAATAAAAAAATTAATGACAATTACAACAATAACATATGACCAATAAATAATGTCAATACCCAATTAATTTATTATTTTGATTCCAGTTCATCATCAGTTTTTTTAAATATTTGCTGTTTGCAAATTTATGAAAGTATACGATTTTTATTAAAGCCCGAACTATTTTGCAAAAGCAAAACAAAATAAAAAAATGAAAAAAATATTGAAAGAAATACCAAATTTATATAAAAAAACACTGAAAACACCATTATAGTATATAGTAATAAAAAAATTATTTATATAAAAATAAAATAATTTAGAAATTATATTTCATATTATTTATTGATTGTATATCAAAAAAAAAAAAAAATTAAATAAAAATTAAGAAAAAAATGCGAGGCAAAAAATATTTTTTTTTAAGGCAGCCACCTTAGACGTGGATTTTTAAAAATATTTTTTTAAGGCAGCCACCATAGGCGTGGATTTTTAAAAATATTTTTTTAAGGCAGCCACCATAGGCGTGGATTTTTAAAAATATTTTTTTAAGGCAGCCACCATAGGCGTGGATTTTTTAAAAATATTTTTTATGCGTGGATTTTTAAAAAATAGCCACCATAGGCGTGGATTTTTAAAAATATTTTTTAATTTTTTTTTTTTTATTTTTTAAATATTTTTTATTTTGATTCTTTTATTTTATTTATTCTAATACATTTTTTTAACATTTCTGACTGGCACAACACTTGGGATAGGGTTTGGATGGATCTTGCGGTATATATTTGCAGGGCTTCAAGGAGTCAATTTTGGCACAGCTGCAATAGAAGAAACACCGAAATGAAAATTAATTTTGAATATTATTTTTATATTGAAATTTCCAATTTACCTTTTGTGAATGACACCGTTTTCACCAAAACATTCATAGAGTTCACACTTGCCGGGTGGCTGATAGGTATCACCCTTTTTCAAGGTTTTGCCCTGGATGCTACATTTGTCATCAGCTGTAAGATGAGAAAAAAATTAGGTTCTCTAGTTAGGAATATTTTATAAAAAAAAATATTTTCCATTTATAAAAATTTTGAAATAAAAAAAAAATAGTTTTTGTTGTTGGGGTTTTTTTGTACCTTGGGCCACAGCAGCAAAGCCGATTACAACACACACTGCAATTAAAATGACAAATTTCATTTTATTTTTTTTTTTTGTTTTTACGGAGAATTCTGGTCGCTTTGTTGTCTAAATATCAACTGATGTGGGGTTTAATTTTTATTTTTTAATTTTGTATTCAAAACGTGTTCAAAAAAATAAAATAAAAAAAAAACTCAATCTCACAATTAAATAGAAGCAGAGAAAATTAATTTATTAAGAAAACAAAAAGAAATTAAAATTAAATTTCTTTTTGGCTGGCCAGGGTGCCCTACACAAAAAGTGCAGGGTAATATTAGTTCACCACACTGTGGTACAGGGTATTATGTCTTTGTGCATATGTTTGTAACAGAGAAAAGGAAACGAGATAGACACATGGTTCCTTTTGAGAATATGCATAGAATCACTTTCTAAGTCGATTTATACATGTCCGTCCGTCCGTCTGTCCGTCCATGTTAAATTGTAAACAAAGTACAGGTCGCATTTATGATTCGAATTGGATGAAATTTGGAATAGGTCACTTATTTGGCCCATGGACGAACAATATTGAAATTGAGAAAAATCGGTTCAGATTTAGATATAGCTCCCATATATATTTTCGCCCGATTTTAGGTAAATGGTGCACCAAAGTCCCTATATATCTTTCGATTTGCACGAAATTTGGCATAGCGTACTGAATTAAGTATAGAACGTTGCGTGTTAAATTTTGTGAAAATCGGTTCAGATTTAGATATAGCTCCCATATATATTTTCGTCCGATTTAAGTTAAATAGTGCACCAAAGTCCCTATATATCTTCCGATATGCACGAAATTTGGCATAGAGTACTGAAGTCAGCCTAGACTGATGTGTGTTAAGATTCATGAAAATCGGTTCAGATTTAAATATAGCTCCCAAATATATTTTCGTCCGATTTAATGTAAACAATGCACCAAAGTCCTTATATATCCTTCGATTTGCACGAAATTTGGCACAGCGTACTGAATTGAGTCTAGAATGATGCGTAAATGGTGCGTAAAATTTCTTGAAAATCGGTTCAGATTTAGATATAGCTTCCATACATATT